CCCGGCCCAGTGAGTACTCCAATTAATTCCCTCTAGTCCATCTACTAACGGATACTACAGAACAACCCCTGCCATTATTGTGTCAAGGAAAATTGGCCCTGTGCGACTCGATTGGACAAGAGGTCCAGCCTCCCCTGCTTGTCTTGCATCCGCTGCTCCACCAAGAAGATCAAATGCAACCCTGCATCTCTGGGATCGCCGCCCAAACGGACCCGAGGGAAGTCTACCACCGGCCGGACGCGTTCCAAGACACCTGCCCCTGCTCCATCCAATGCTCCATCTCCCTCCCGGTCAAGGGCCCGAACTCGTAGTCAATCTCGTGGCCCTTCCCGAACTCCGGCCATCCCTGCTGCAACCACACCCCAGGTGCAGTCACGTGGTCGCAGCAAGACCATCACTACCAAGAAGACACCTGCACCTGCACCTGCACCTGCACCTGCACCTGTTCCTGCACCTGTCCCTGCACCTGCGCCAGCTAGTAAGTCACCCATACTTTTGATGACCGGCTGACCTAATTTTTTACTTAGCAGTCAGGTCTTCCAGCGTCGCAGTGCCTCGTGCAGCACTCGATGTTCCCATGCCGGATCTCCATTCCATGGCAATCGCGATTCGGGATGGTGCAGCTCGCATCGCTATTCTTGAGGCTCGGGTGCAGGAGCAGGATGCTAAGATTGATACCCTGCAACGCCTCCATGAGAGCCTCCGGCGCACAGTGGTCGACCGGCACCCTTCATTTTCACTTCCGGACACACCGGCCGATGGAATAATGTTGCTTGGTCAAGGAGGTCCCCCCCCGTCCATGTCACCCCTCCCCTCCGCACTTTCCAACCTCATTGATTTGGACTTTTCAGTCATGCAACCTACACCCTTGACGCCTGAGCATGAATCTGCTGTGGTAGGTCCCATGGTTGAGCCCACCCAAGTTCAGCCTGAGGGTCCACAATCCTCCGGCGAAATTGATCTCCCTGATGAACCAGGCAACCTCCTGCCAGAATCGCCCGGCGATATTGTGGTCCCTAATGAACCAGGTAACCTCCTGCCAGAATATGATTCTTCTGATGAGGAGATGGATGTTGAGGGAAAGGTTGATCTTCCTGGTGAGGAGGTTGACATGGCTACATAATTGCTCAGTGATAGATGTACATAAATGTTTTTCCATGCATGTTACCTATGCCACAATTGAATCATTCAATGATCACTCCCGATATCCAGAACTCGAAACTGCAGATTGAGGTAGATATCACCCAAAACCCGAACACCCGAATGTCAAATTATTAGTGCCGAACCCCGAGTCCCGGGTGCCGGGTACCGAGTCCCGACACCCGGAACTCAGGATTTGACATTTTAGACGAACGACATCTTCCAGACATGTTTAAATCAACCTATGTATATCTGTCAACATTTTACTAACCCCCAAACCCCAAACCGAGATGTACCAACCCCCGAACCCCGAAACCCGAGAGTGCCGGGTCTCGGGTCTCGGGTGTCCGGAACTCGGAACTTGGGAGAATTTGGGGAGATCAATACAATTTAATTTACAATCGAGTTGATTGACAACATATTGACTTACCCATGTTTTGCAATATATTTTTGTTTAGACATACCGAGTTCCGAGTTCCGGACACCGGAGACCCGAGACCCGAGACTGCCGGGTCTCGGGTGTCCGGAACTCGGAACTTGGGAGAATTTGGGGAGATCAATACAATTTGATTCACAATCAAGTTGATTGACAACACATTGAATTAACTATGTTTGCAATATATTTGTGTTTACATACCGAGTTCCGAGTTCCGGACACCCGAGTTCCGAGACCCGAGACTGCCGGGTCTCGGGTGTCCGGAACTCGGAACTCGGTATGTCTAAACAAAAATATATTGCAAACATAGTTAATTCAATGTGTTGTCAATCAACTTGATTGTGAATCAAATTGTATTGATCTCCCCAAATTCTCCCAAGTTCCGAGTTCCGGACACCCGAGACCCGGCAGTCTCGGGTCTCGGGTCTCCGGTGTCCGGAACTCGGAACTCGGTATGTCTAAACAAAAATATATTGCAAAACATGGGTAAGTCAATGTGTTGTCAATCAACTCGATTGTAAATTAAATTGTATTGATCTCCCCAAATTCTCCCAAGTTCCGAGTTCCGGACACCCGAGACCCGAGACCCGGCACTCTCGGGTTTCGGGGTTCGGGGGTTGGTACATCTCGGTTTGGGGTTTGGCACTGAAAATTTGACATATATATTTTTGTCAGTGTTGTGCTTCTGGTGTCCATGCTTAGAAATAGGATTTGTTGCACACCAGGGTTCAGGTGTGGGGTTTTTCCACTTCAGTCCTGGATTATTGGTCAATGCCACACATGATAGATTCATGTTTTTGTGCTTAGGGGTTTAGATTTCGTGGTTGATGGTAGGTATATGCACTGATAGTGTACATGTATCCTATGTGTTTGATTCGCTGGTGGCTACATCAGCTGTATGTCTTGATGGAACATATCTAGGCTCACCCATATATGTAATACACCCCCGTCGGCCCGCCCGTCTATGTATTATCCCCCGTCGGCCGACCCGTCTATGTGATACATCCTATGTTGGCCCACCCGTCTATATAATACATCCTACATCGGCCCACCCGTCTATATAATTATACCCCACCTCGGCCCACCTGTCTATGTAATAAATATTTTATAGCACCCTCGGCCCACCGGTCTATTTGATATCTCTTTCGTCGGCCCACCCGTATATGTAATACATTCCACGTCGGCCCACCTGTATATGTAATACACCCTACGTCAGCCCACCCGTCTATGTAATATTCCCCTACCTCGGCCCACCCATATATGTAATACACCCACGTCGGCCCGCCCGTCTATATAACAATATTTGCCTTACATCTCTCTTCAGCCCAGCTGTCTATAATATCCTACTCTACATATTACCCAGATGGGCCCACCCATCTCCATGAATGATCATATTCCCCCGGCCCATCCGTCAACATTAAGGATATATATATCATTGGCATACATGGGCCCACCCGTCTCCATCGGAAATAATATGAGTCCCGGCCCATCCGTCATCATCGAGAATATACACAACATGGGCCCATGATCAGCTGGCCCGTCTCATACGGGATATTATGGAGGTCGGGTGGCCCGTATAATACGGAATTTGTCACTGAAGGGGCTCGCCTCCCTTACTTCCTATCACGAGCAAGAATGTGGGCGACCAGATTGGGTTATTGCGTCCATCGCTTTGGACTCGCCGACCGCTTCTCAAATCACTGCATTTTCAAATTGGACTTTGCCTCGTGGCACTCATACTCTCACGTTGGGGCTTCCGGCATTGTGCTTTCGTTACATCTGACATTGCTTTCCATGCTATATCAATATTCTCTCCTTGAGCGACATCCTATAAGTGCAGCAGCCTTGGGGCCTTTCTGGTCATGTTTTTTCGCGTTTTGATGCGGGATCTGTGTATTGCAAATAAAATGGCAATGAGTTTCCATAGTGCTTCGTGCATGCCCAACAAGTATTGTGTAGCACCTCATCTTACAAGAACACCGCTTGCACCAAATGTAACTTTCAGACTTCGTGTCGTATCTCCATCTATGTAACCATGTCTAGTACATCATGTTTGCACAGCGGGATAGTGATATGTTATCCTGGTTGTAGTAGAATCATCTCTATAGACCTTGTACTAAAGTGCAAGCCATATCAAGACACTGTCACGGTAGCAGACCACCAAATGATGCAAGTGGTAGGTCAAGAACATAGCAGTGACCACTTGTGTTCACTGCGATAAACAATTTATAGCCTTTCGTAGCTCTATCTATCCAGGATCACACTTGTGTTGTTTGGCAATATGCTACCCTAGGCATATCACAATTATAACTGATGACCATTTAGCATCATCATCACATGTATTTTGTAGCTCATGATTGCTACCTCGTTGGCATTGTAAGAAGCCATCATGAAGTCCGTCTTACGCAAAGGATGGCCACTATTATGGAGAGCTGCTGGACTTCCTGCAACAGTTTATCTATTATATATCACAATTGCAAGACATATATCTTCATCAGGATTATTTTCCTCTTCCACCTTTTTATCCTTTGATGCTATTATGCTATGATTATTTATCGTGTTATCTTCAGGTAGACATGTGATCTGAATCTGTCATCTATACCTTCTTCTCGCCGGTTTCCTGATGAGATGACCATTGGATCAGAGAGATGCCGGACTTCCTACAAAGGTTTATCTATCAAGCATCATAGTTGTGAGGCATTGTGAGACATATATTCATTCATCAAAGTTAGGTCTGTATTGCACTTTGGATGGCATTATGCTTTGCATATATATTCATTTGTCTTCGGATATAATCTGGTGGACTTTTGGTCTGAACTTGCCATATATATCTACAAAAGCCAAGTTCTCGCCGATTCCCTGATGATAATCTTAAATGTGATGGCCCATTTGTTGGAATCCATCACATGAGTCAAGCTGTAGTAACCATGGACCAGTAGCCAAACTTATCTCCTCTCAATATATGTTGCAAACTATGTTTACTGTGGAGCATCTCTTGCACTTGCTCCATTCTGATGCATGATTTGTACTGTACCAATCTCGGGCAATAATCACATCTATTTCATAAACAGTGACAAAAAGCCAAGATTTCCCAGACCCCTTCAGGGTAATATTGCCTGACATTCAACGTCTCGATTGTGTGACCTTGCCATGTTACACAATTAGGTCTACATGGGGGATACACAATGCCGTGGCAGCAATGTGCCTTGCATGACAATTCCAGCTTCATCTGTTGCTCTAGATCTTCATGTCATTCATTTGCATTTCTGTTCAATTTTGATTATTCTAGGCACATCCTGCACCTTGTACAATGTTGACCGAGGTGTTCATCCATTATACTGATCCCACAATGTGAAGGCCAATTTAGGTTTATTATTGTGTACATAGATAATACAAATGGTAGTACATGTATTAGTGAAACATATCACTGATGGCGTGTAGCAGAAGTGTTAGCAACAGAGTACTGTGCTACATTCTGAGGCAAGTAAGTAGACACATTGCGAGCCCCAAAGACCTTTCTACAAAGTGTAAGAAATGCGTGAACAGCAGAAAGCTTACAAAACACTCACCTGTTCCACCAAACAAGAAGAGTGTCGACAGAGGCTTTGGCGGCAGATGTAGGTGGATGCTCAAAGTAGTCGACAATGTAGATGTAAAATTGACAATGATTAAACTCATCATCAACAATATGCCAGGCACCACAGCTTGATAAGGCAAATCGTAACTAGGGTCCCAGCTATTCTCACATCTAAGAAAATTATGAAACATACCTGGACTGCTGAATATGCGATAGCTCGCGCTTGAACTGAGCACATTCCTAATATTGTTGCGATGTTGGACTGGGTGCGCCGTTCACCTGAAGTCCTAGACTGCTTGTGTGATGGTTCCTGATAGCCCAGTTCTTCTTCGTCAGATTGTATCTCCCCAGCAGAGCTGGGGGACGTAAAGATATGTTTGAAAGTCTATGCAAATAGGTAAGCGCAATGCCAGGAAGAAAATACTAAAACCCACCCTGACGAGCAAAACACCTTTGAACAGCCCTTTCATCGGGTTGTCAGGGTCATATTTACTGTTGCAATACAAGAATGCTGGCCACGAATGAGCGGTAACTTGAAAGTCGGGTTCGTAGTTTCGTATCCCTTTCTTCATTCTATGGCTATAATCAGTATGAGGTGCAGTAAGCTGGTTAGTGAGGCCATACTTTGGATCAGCCCAATGGAAATCTACGGGACATAAAAGTTCCCCGGTCACATCATGATAAAACCCACGTCCAGACTTGTCGACTAAGGGGATGGGTGGGTTGGGGGTAGGAAGGCTCTCGTTAAGCCATGAAGCCACTGCTTTCTTCAAGGAACTAGTGTCATCACCCCGTGCTGAATCAGCACCTCTATTGAGCTGAACTGGGTTTAAGCATTGATGCGACTACTTGCATGACAGACAACTTACCTTTTGATAAGCGATATTGAGTTGATATCCATCACTTTGAGAGTTGACAAGGCTGCGGACGCATGGAACCCAGCGAAGTAGCTGTTGAAATGACTGATAGATTTGTTCCTCCCTAGAATTTTGCAAACAAGATTAAATCATCTAACTGAAGGACTAAGCATAATACTCACTCTTCTGTGTGTTGGTCATCTTCATCACACAGAGCACTCCTTCGATCGTGCTCTCCAACAAGGTCCTCAACCCTGTCGGTCAAGCTCACAAGGCGCCGGATGGCACGGCCAGCAGGGACATATATATCACCATGGCTATTGGACACCAGCTGCGTCAGATACATATAGCAATCCATGTTAGTACAAGACCTTTTGTTGCTGCGGCTTTCTCCCTGCAGCTCAGCATTTTGCTCTTCTAGAGCAGCAATGCGCCGTTTCAGAGCGTTATGGGTTGCATTAGGTGAATCATTGTCAAAAGGACTTGGAGACTGCGACATGGGTAATAGGAACTTGAAGGAAAAAACGAGGGTGATTGACGTACTCAAGACGATAAGCTTTTCAAGCACCAATATCTGAAATTGATGTGGAGCAAGATTCACGCTCGTCAGGGCTGCCATTGACTAAAGTTGAATAGTCAATAAAATGCTCCACTCTGTTTGAATGGAGCAGACCATCATGTCGTTATACGGACCCTTGTGGTGTTTCCGAAAAAATCGGAAATATGGTGTCAGAGCATGGGGGTATTGAGTGCAAGCGAAACTCTGGGTCGGATCTCATCACGGAACTTGTAGCGTCATTGTAATGTCATGGTGGGTCCATCATGATGCAAAGGCTCGTCACTGATATCCAGGGCTGGTGTGTTGCGGACTTGACTCTGATTGTCCAATTCAGCGTTCTTCCAAAATCGTGACCATATGTCGATAACTGCAATGCAAGAGAGCAGGTGAGTACTATGATGAATATTCAAATGTACACAGCTTGCTCACGCAGTAATTATCACTTCACTTCAAGCATCCTCACTGATATTGAAATTGAAATTGACCCATTAATTTTGTACCCCACCTTGGAAGCCTTTATGGTAAAGCTAGACAATGATGAGCCAGCACGACAATGGCCTGCCTTATTCCTCACCCCTTTGAAACGGATGGGAGCGAGGACACTTGATGACGTTGTTGATATGTGCATCGTGTCCCCCAAAACCCTCTGGATATTTTTTAGGCTGTGCCCTATGATGATCATGGACCTTTATGTCCATGTCATTGACACTATAAGTGCGCTGCAGCACATGAAGATTTAATGCACGACTCACAAGGTAAGAAACTTTGCCTTCAGAAAGGATTGCACACTGACTGCTTTAATATTCTAGACTAAACTAGTGTAGATTAGCACGATATTGAATCAAATGTATTGGATTTATACTGAGCCGAAAACTAATCTCGACGAGCTTACATTAAGAAACCGTAAACATCCAGAAACACCAGTATGGTTGACCTTGGCAAATATGCAAGGTACCTTGCATTCCACAGAGAGACCATAGACAATCCTGGAGCCGATACAGAGATCTGATTTTGACACATTGAGTACAAAGATCAACACGATTGGAAAGAAATAAGAGTCACGCACTTCAAGTTGTCCTGACATTTGAGCGATATGTCATCACTATTCACAGAGTTGCTTGAAATTGAATGCGCCAAGGTGTTCACAGAGGGAGACTATAAAAAGTGTCGCATGAAACATCGAGACAAGATAAAGCCAGTCATCATGCCTCTCAGCATTGTCTGAGAAAAGAAGTTGGACTGAGCAGCAGGAAATTGATGGTCCAGGGAGCTTACCTAAGCGAGCAGCGCTCGGACAAGGTGGGTCTTCTTGAGACAAGTGGTGTTCTCGTCGCTGATCGGAGAAGGCAGTCTGGGAGCAGGAATGGAGACGGAACATGTCGTTCCTTTGAGATGAACGGATCAGTGCGGATGCGAGTTCCTGCAGCCTATTAGTAGCTATCTGTAAATCTTGATCTAAGGAATGATCACTCACTGTATCCCTAAAATGCAGGTGTTGTCATCCGTTTTCCAGACACAGCGATTCAATGAAATCTGGTGTTTGAGGTCTCTCCGTTCAAACCAGCAGCAAGTCTGAATGAGGTGCATTGATGCCAAGTGTGTGAAATTACAGACTCAGTGGGTGTGGACGACTGTCAATAAGTACCTAGCCGCACCATCTAAAATGGCAAAGCCCGCTACCCGACTAAGTCACGATGCCTACTGCCGTTCAGAAACCTAAGACCCCTGGAGGCATCCAATCTTACTACCAGGCCAAGATTGAGGCTGATTAATCGGAAAACATGGAACCTGCGTCAGTTGGAGGCTCACCGGAATGCACTGGATGCACGAGGTGCGTTTGAATTGTACTGATTCCAACGAATGCATTCATAGGACAAAAACATAGTGTGTCTGCTATGAGAGGAACTTCAGCTCTTACACGAACCTGGAAGTTATGGTGAAGGTTATGGGGAAGAAGAAAGTCCTTGTCAAGGTGCAACCTGAAGGCAAATACAGTACGTGCTGGGTCTTGAATGATGCTTTATCCTGTTTCGCTCACACACTGTCAAGTAGTTGACTTTGACCTGTCGATCAAGCTGTCCCAACTTTCCGCTTCATTGCGTGTGGCTCTCCGTTCTGACTCTTATACCATCCACAAGATATTGCCGAACAAAGTCGACCCACTTGTCTCCCTCATGATGGTAAACGATGATTCTTAGGTAAGTCCAACCTTCTCCTTCACTCATCACTCACCATCTCTTTTGCTGCTTACAGTGTGTGCTTATGCATGCCTCCAGCACACCAGACCTCAAATGGAACGCTTCCACCAACCTCATCCATCCACCAACTTCATCTGTCATCCACCTCCATTATGCTCGCAGGCCTTGACATGCACCAGATCATCAACAAGCGCGATCGGTTTATCGAAGTGCACGTCCAACAGTGCATCAAGCTCGAGGAGATCCCAGCCACCATCGGCGATGGCCACTTTGATTCTCTAGTTGATGTTATCCCCGGTGCGCACAAGCAAGAGGCCCCTGATGAGAACCAGCAACTCTCAGCGCTGTCCCCACATGACAAGCTATGCACCATGGTCGAGCTCAAGTCACTCAGGGTGCTCGGGAAGCAACGCGCCATGCATACGCATGACCAAGCAGGCAGAATGCAAACAGTGCATCGACCGCGAGAGGCATGTGAAGCACAAGCACGTTGAGCAGCTTGGCATCATGGATGGGATGTCATCACTGTGAACTGCTCTGCGCAGGATCAGGTCGCAAAGCTCGGGTGTGCTGTGTTGTTATTCCATGCGTTCATTGAGAAGGAGGAGCAGAAGTGTATCGAGGGGATATCAAAGGCGCATTTGAAGGTGCTTAAGGTGGATGATGAAAAGGCTGAAGCTTATCGATACAGCGAAGGATACGCGCATCACCCACTTACTGCGGCAGATGGACGCCTATCTTGATTCACTCACACAGGCCATCGTGGTGCAGTAGAATGAGTCTGGTCCCTTGGATACGAACTTTGACCAAGAGAAAGGCCCCGCAAACGAGGCCATGTTCGGCGCCCAGGTCAGTGCTGATGCCCAGGATGACAGGGGCAAGGTGGACTACTATGCCGTCGCGCATTGCATTTCAGAGAAGGTCATGAAGCAGCCTAACATTCTTGTCAGTGGTCAGCTCAGGCATCCTTGCAGACGAGATGGTGAGCAATGCCATTCAGGTTCTTTATATTATATCTCACTCGAGCACAGGGTCTCGGGAAAACAATCCAAAATTCTCACTGGTCACATTCCTCATCGAGGTCAAAAAACAGTGCGGGCCTTATCTTGTCATCGTGCCACTATCAACGATAACGAACTGGTCCAGCAGATTCGAAAAATGGGCGCTGACGGTGAAGATAATTTCATACAAGGGCAACCCCGCACAACGTTGCAACCTCCAAGGCAACCTGCAGATGGGCCAGTTCCAAGTTCTGCTCACCACATATGAGTACATCATCAAGGACCGGCCTATTCTCAGCAAGCTCAAATGGGTGCACATGATCATCGGTGAGTGGGTTTGAACATCTTGCTGGTTCTTAGTTGTTCATTCTTGGTTTAGACAAGGGACACCATATGAAGAACATCCAGTTGAAACTCGCGCAGACGCTCACTCAGTACTACCACTCCCGCTGCCACCTCATTCTCACTGGCACTCCCCTTCAGAACAACCTCCCCGAACTTTGCGCCCTCCTCAACTCCATCCTGTCAAGATCTTCAACTCGGTGTTACGGCCGTTCTTGCTGAGAGAATTGAAAAAGTGGAGAGTGAACTTCCCGATAAGGTGGAGAAGGTGATCAAGGTTCACGTGAGCACACTGCAGAGTCAGCTGTATAGACAGATGAAGAAGCACAAAGTATGCGAAGGGGTACGTTTGATGCTTTTTGGGGAGTGGGCGAGTCGTGGTGCTGATATTCGTTTATATCTGGAGGCGTGAAGGGTCTGAGCAATGAGCTAATGCAACTGCACAAGATTTGTCAATATCCCTTCTTGTTCGAGAGCGTTGAGGACAAGGTCAATCCAACAGGGCTCATCGACGATAAATTGATCGGGTCAGCTGGTAAACTCAAGCTCTTGTCGCATATTCTTTCCAAGTTCTTCGCGATAGGTCACAGGGTGCGTTGCTCCCTACGATGGTCCGAGCTGTGCTAATCATTGTTTCACATCTTCATGCCTGGACTGGTACGGCATTTTGGTCCTCTTCCTCTGGCGGTGGAGAGAGTTGCCTTCAAGTATGTGATTATGTCAAGCATTTTTTTCGTTCCTTTATGACTCTCAAATTATAGCGATTCATTGATGGACAACTGCAAAAGCAAACTCCTTCCAAGGTCATCGGTATTTAGTCTATAGTACATATGTGTGTAGCACTTTGGCACTTTGCGACATAATCTCCATACTGCCACAGGCTCATCCCATCACTTGCTACGTGATCCCAAGTATCATGAGGGCTCTTGGTGGTCACGACAATACGAGGATCATCAAGACCTTCATACTCCAGCAGCCATTTCTCTACAGTGCCAACTTCCTCGGTCACACGCAAAACCAAAACCTCCAGGATAACACAATCTGAAAGAATCATTTGGAGCAAGGCTGGTGCTGTCTGCTTCGTGAAAACTCGGAGGGAAATATGTGTGAGCTGGGTCAGGCAAGGTATGCCAATCGAAGAGCCCCAAAGCACCCAGCCTTCCAACAATTCAAGATGAGTAATGTTATTGAATATAGGGATGGATGGCAGAAATGGCCTGGCTGTCCTGCAGAAGACAGTTGATAGTTGAATGGACAGCCGCAACAATGGCAACCCATTCAATTCCTCCAATAGGAAATCTGGCACAGTGTGGTTATGCCCCTCTGGAAGAATCCAGAGCGCAAGGCTGCAAACACTGCTACAAAGGTGCATGACCTCTGCTGCTGTAGCAAGCTGCACTGTACCGCACAGGCAGAGCGATTTAACATTTTTAGAAGCAAGTGCCGGTCGAGAATGAAGTGAATCGATGAAGCGACATGCGCGTGTCTCACTTGTAAGGACGATAGTGTGATATATCAATCCTTCAGTCCTATTAATGTCCTGTAAGTGGTGACTTCAGAATATTCCGGGACTTGTACTTACCAGTTTTGAACTTGCTGGGAAACCAGTAAACATGAGTGCACATCACTTGCAGGGTGCACATGTGCAGCAAGTCGAAAGACTTTCCGTTCGATCTCGTATGGCAGACACAGCATATCAACGTCAGGTCAATGTTCAAGATCAAAGTATTCATCCTCTTGGAATACTGGCTAGTAGTAGTTTGATGTGTAATTCTAACGTCAACCATGATGTCATTCCATTCAATTTATGACCCATCCCGCAACGTGTGCAAGCCTGACCATACCTGAGCTGTCAAAATTGTCATATCAGCCTTATAAAGGCCACACTCCACTAAATGATATCAATGTGGTGCTGCGCAAGTCTTGACTGTTGCCGGCAAACCCACCACTCACATAGTCACCCATTGCAATGCCTTACCATGATCCAGACCAAAGCTCTGAACACAGCGCACCACAAATTCTTGGAGTTGAGGACTGGCATCATAGCAAATGGTGCTTTCTAGCCAATGGTCAAGGAGCACCAGTGGACTCGCAAGGATATTACATCTTCCCCAGTGAACCACTGGCAGGTCCCGATACTCAAGAGACCTTAGATTCTGCAAAGTCGCATTCGCCATCATCAAAGGCGCCCACCATTGCAGCAGGAGATGACTTGGGAAAGCATACTAGTAACCAGGTGTGTGTGCTGGTACTATTTCATAAAGTATGAACCAACTCAAAGAGGCTTGAAAACCATGTTTCCTAGCATCCTGTCAATATCCCACATCATAATTTGAAGCGTGCACTGTCAGGTGACGAGTCAAACTCTGATGTGAAATCTGATGCAGTGAGTCTTTCTCTCACTCTGTTGATATTAATTATCTACTCACACTGATGCTCAGAGCCGGCAGTTCGCTGACAATATCACAAACTCCCTGCATGTGCAACCACCCACCAAGAAGCGGCGGGTCACTTTGTCTGGCAGTGAAACTGACAGCAGGGCTGCAGATAATGTGGATGGAGTCATAGAGAATCGAAAAGAAATTGTCGAGGTGCTTCGGGAGCAGACCGCCATCCTGGCACGCCTAGTACATGTTCTTGAAGTCGTGTCTCAGTGATTCAATGGACATATCACAGCGGTCAACACTGCCAAACCATATTGACGTATTATATCATATTACTTTTAACTGATCCCGTCCTGGCGCCAGTTGAATGATGACCAGAGGCTGAAACTTGAATAAATCTACCAAACTTTGTAGGTACAGATGCAATGACTAATGCTCACCAGAGTATAGTTGGATTAAAAGACTGTACATATACCGCGCACTTCGGCGCCTGAGCACCGGCCCAGTTTCTCGGTGAGTGCTTTGAGGTCGATACCGCGCAGTGACATCTAAGAACAACCATGTTTTAAGGATGCCCGCGAGATACAGAATGCAGACATCTCACCTTGCGAGAGTGGATTTTAAGAATGCTGACACGAGCTTCTGGGCCAGGGGGAGGGAATTCGATCTTTCGGTCAATACGTTCCGGACGAAGAAGTGCAGAATCCAATATATCTATGGTGGTGCCTTCAGAAAGTCATGATGCCTTATGAGGACCCACAAACCTATACAATTCGTAGCCATGATAACCTTGATGTCCTTTGTAGCCTCGAAACCATCTAACTGATTGAGAAGCTCCAGCATCATGCGCTGTACTTCCGAATCGCCACCTCCCGAACCACTGTCTCCTCGCGAACTGCCGATAGAATCAATCTCGTCCATAAATATGATACTAGGTGCATACTCCCTGGCCATGACGAATAGCTCCCGAACCATTCTGCTTCCTTCACCGATGTACTTCTGAACAAGCTCGGAGTCTGAAACACGAATGAATTTGCAGTTGGTGTGGTGTGCGACGGCGCGAGCGAGTCTTTCCCGTCCCAGGAGGTCCACAAAGAAGAACACCCTTGGGCTGTGCAATGCCCAGAGATTCGAAGAGCTCTGGGTGTTTGACGGGCAACTCGATAAATTTCTCGATTTCCTTGATTTGCTTATCCGGACCTCCCACCATTTCGTACGTACTATCTGGGACTTTTTCTACCATCATGAGGGAGACGAGTGGGTCGACTTTGTTCGGCAATATCTTGTGGATGGTATAAGAGTCAGAACGGAGAGCTACGCGCAATGAAGCGGAAAGTTGGCAGGAAGACTGGGGTAGGTTGTGCTGGTAGTGCCATCCTAGCAGGAGCACGAAGAAGACCGGTCAACGATAACCTTCACTTTGATGGCGGCGCCAGGGCTGTGCAAGATTCTGGGGAGGTTGTAGTTGGGTGTGTCGAGTAGGTCACTAGGTTACTGCGTCAAGGGCGTGGCAGGAAAAGTGGTGCCGGTGATTCTGTGAAAGGGTGGGTATCAACATTGTCGACGACGAGGAAAAAAGAAAGACAGTTAGCAAGCCAAGAATTCATAATATCAAACTAACATCACCAGGACTAAAATGACCGGCTGCTCAGACTTTTTGCCAACCCGGAGTCATCGACTTTCCTTCCCTAAAATGAGTTAACGCTTGATGGGACTGACATGTGGTGAAAGGGAGACCGAGATGATTAATAGGTTGACAAGGAAGGTGATGGCATTGTGAAGGGTTAGGGTTAGTCCATATAAGGCGATCTGTTCCAGAACGGATCGCCTTATATGGACTAACCCTAACCCTTCACAATGCCAGGTGTATGGAACAACTGTAAATGGTTGCACTCAAATCTTACCACGTCCCAAGTCCACAAGATGCACCTCGTGCACTTCTTACTTTCCTTCTTGCAGCTGCACCATCTCCCGCTCTCGCACAAGACATCCACACCCGTTTCGATGATCATTTGGCAAGCATGATCATTGCTCACATGTCCGGCTTCCTTCCTCACGAGGCCGAGCAACTCACCATTACTGGTGCTCCCGGAACCATCGGCGAGGTCAAGACCTCCGTCGTCTGGGTCCAGGTACCCTCTGAAAATGGCACCGTGCATCTCGAGCTCGTACATCGTGTTAGTATTTATCCTCTAGTTTTTGCACCCAATATTGACCACTACACAGTTCAAAGTTGAGATGGAGCACAACTGGTATGAGGTCACAGTCTCTGCATCTGTTCCCTACAGTATTGTGTCCGTCGTGGACTAGGCCAGTGACAGCCCCATACCTCTTTATTCCCCTGAATCTCACTCCGAGGATGCTCAGCTCCCTCCCCTCTCCTCATTCATCCCTGCAGGCTCCAACGCCCCCTCCTGCTCCACCAAGAAGGTTGGTGGTCGCTTCAGGAAGGGTAAGGCTGTGGCAGATCTCCGAAAGAGCAAGGCTGTCAAGGAGGGTGCCACATGGTCCAGTGGCCCTGCAATTCCTGACTTCCCCAAAGCATATTACAATGTCTTCCCATGGGGCACCAATGATCCTGTTGAGGCTGCGGAAAGGAAGGCGCTGAGTGAGGGAGATGGTAAGTTCCGCTATATTCCCTTTGTGATCCAAACATCAACTCACGCCTCTTCTAGCACCCACAGATCCTTCTTACGGTCGCGTCCAATCCTCTGAGTTGGGTGATAAGCTCGCAAGTCCGGCAGGGTGGCACGCCCTGCCGTGGGGTGTAGACCCCAGCATTAGTGAGGAAGAGAAGACTACACTTCAAGCGAAAGGTTCGTCATCCTCTAGTTGACCTTTTCGTGCTATAGACCTCATGCGGAACGGCAGGCAAGTTCTGGCGCTGTCTTCTTAGATAGATGATCTATAGATAAACACCTATAAAAACAAATATCTCCACGGTCAGTGATTCAGACAAATACCAATGACTGATAACGTGGTCATTCGTGGGTGGCTAGTTGTATACAACCCAAAGTATGTTCAGCTAAGGATACTTCTGCAAGATCAGTAATACAATGGTCAATCCAATCTTTGGACTTGACAGGAAAACAAACAAACAATGGTCAGCCCGACAGTATGGCAATGACCAAAAGAATATACGGGTTTCTTCCTCAAGTTCCCTTTCAACAACAGTGCCTCGTGCCAAACTATACTCCAAAGAAATGGTGCAGAATTACAATGATAAACCCCCTCAGCACAAAACAGGTAGAATCAAAGGTCAAGACTAATCAGATGCTTTATTGTAGAACTCTTAGCTCAATATTGAACCTGCTGTCAAGGAACTCTTCTTTGAGTATTCAAACAGACTCAGGAACGGACGTCCTTGGGTTTACTACCAAGTCGCCTCTTCAACGGCTAAAGCCTAGCAGGCACAGAATATCTTGGCTCAGTATCACTACTCAGATGAGTGAGGTCAAGCTTCACTATCAATTCCTAAAGTCTCCCCACTATGCTACTTCTGAGTCTTAGGTGGACGTAGAGACAACACGAATATTTTGGAAATATATTTCTGGACAAAGACCACCAAAGGTTGGTGAAAGTAAAAGAAAAGAAAAAGAATAATAGAAATCAGAATAAAAGTGTGGCTGTACCTTGCTTGCTGGTTGTTGCACACAGTGAGCTCACAGCGGGTCGTTCAGTATGATGAGCTTGCAGTATTACTGTCTCTTGAGAGTGTTCCTCTCAGTCTTGAAACAGTTCTTGACACTGGTACTGACACTTATCACACCTTACTTCACAACTTAGTGTTAGTTGGGCTGAGAAACACCCTACTACCTGCTGGTATCTGCTTGTATCTTATTTCAAAAACTGAGGTCATTATATACACAATAAATGTGGCTGTGCTACTAGTGTATTCAAGAGTCATCAAGAGTCATAATGAGTCATATGTGCAAGGTGAGTCATAGTGAGTCATAGTAAGTATCTAGAGTGAGTCATAGTGAGTCATATATTCAGAGGGAGTCATAGTGAGTCATTGGGTATTTGCTAAGTCATGTGACCTGTCCAACCCCTGATGACAAATCCAGAAGGAGAGTAAGAAGTGTCACCTGATATGAATCCTGTGCGTGGCTGTCTTTGCTTTGCTTTGTTTGAAGGGTGAGAATGACGCGAGCCTAGTATTTAGGGGTTTACTAATGTTTTTCCAGGACAACATATGTGGGAAATATTTTTAACAGTCACCTGACATGTGTGGGATTTTGTCTGGGTCATCACCATGGCTGACTAAGCAAAACTCATCGCAGAATTAAATGTACTAAAATATTCAGGCTGCTGGCATATAAACTTGAAAAAATAAAAAGAAAAGCAAAAAATATTCCCTTAGCCTCAGTCCAACTTCAGATAAAAGGGAAAAGGGTTTCATAGTGGTATTTCAGGGTATATGACTCATGAGAGAGTATTGGTTGTCCATGCACCGAACCGGTTTGGTGCAGGTCATCTAGTGGAAACTGAGAAATCAATCGTCCCCGATTGCAAACTCTGAAGGGGGAAGGGTGTTCAAGCCCTAGCTAGGCTGGGTTCATCTTCTGTGTTAGGAAAAGGGTATCGTAATGGGTTGGTCATGATATGGTTTTGAGGCAGGGGTGGAAGTTCTGCCTGAAAATCTTCTTGCTGGGTAACCCATAATCTTTCTTCTATCTCATCAAGTGCACGGTTCAAGTCCTGTGCTGTTATGAATATGTATTCACATGTAGGGCACCGCCACCGGAGAAGGTATGCACCCCTTATTCTTCCACGATAGGGTTGTACATCTACCTGATAATGTAGATCTCCATGTGGATGCATTTCTCCTGCGTGCCATGTAAACGAACTTCCTAACCGATCAATCTGACTTTCAGCTATAGTCAGCTGGCTTTGGAAATGTTCTTCATTTGAATATATTTGACCAAGACGAAGGTATTGGGTGGGTAAGAACCCGGGTTCAGGCTGAGGGTTTACCTCCAAGCCTTGCTCAATTCGTGTTGCGCGATTCATTGTTCTCCAAGACAGATTGTGGTACTTGCACAGATATCGTCCTCAACAATTTCTACGTAACCCGTATGTTTGCTTGCTAGGATGTATAGAGCAAGGGCGTAGATAGTGTACAAAATGAGTTCCAAGACTCGCATAGTTGACTACAGTTATGGTACGTGTTTGATTTGCGGAGACGAAAGGCTGCCGAACGTAGTATATGGAAATGCAGACCGTAACGGAATGATGTATACTACCAAGAAAAAGACTAACTAATCAGCTATGAAAGGAGTGTACTTGTCAATTAGAAGAAATCAGGCAGTGGATCCAGACCCCTAACAAGGCTTAATATTTCATCATAGCGGCGATCCTGAGAGCTTCGTACCAAAATTTCACTTCCGAATTCCACAACACTATTCCCAAAGCTATCCATTCCGTCCAATTGCTTCTGAAAGTCGTCAAGGGACCGCATAATTGCGTCCGGCTCTGTGGCCTTGAATTTCCTGAGACACTTGGTGCGCTTCTTGCACCAGCGTAGAAAGCGAAGGTGTTTGGGAAGGGAAAGGACGTGAGTAGACAGGGTAAGACGAACGGGCGGTGGAGCGAGTGGATTAGTGGGTTCATAGTCCAATGGAGTGACATGTACAACAAAGACGTCCTTGTAGTGCTCCACTACTTCCGAAACTCGGCCAGTGAAGATCTGGTGGAATTTGGACTGGTCCTCTAGGCGCACAATTTGGCTGAGGGCAAAAGTGGCGTGATAGGTGCAGCAAATTTGGTGGTACGTCCAGCAGCGGTCCGGTGCGGAAGTGTATGCATCTGGTTTGGTTTCGATGATAGGGTGCCGATGAGTCAGGTCGACAAATGACTTGGGATGGCGGCGGAAGAGCATAGTTAAAGAAAGAGAGGAGTGATTTGCAGCCAGAAAAAGAGTGATATTGAGTAGCGCTGTTGTGTGCCAGCGGAAAACTGAGGAACACCTTCAAATTTTGGCGTCCTATATATGAAAGTTGTACAAGGGTCTTCAGGGATTTAAAGTATTACTATACTAGGCAAAATTGAAAGTCCCTGCGATCTAACCCCTAAATGAATTGTGAATGAAAAAGGCGCTGTCTGTTTTATTAATGCCGCTAGGGTTTTAAGTTATTTAAGGTTTGCATTCTTCCTGTTGCCGAAATTAGGGTTCCGTCATTAATTTAGGTTCCGGCTCAATTGATTGTCCTTCAGCGCGCAGTAACCAGTGAAACAATAAATAGCATGTGGGGCAATGTCTCTTTACCAATCGTTTGTATCCCAAATCCCATAGTACAGTTATAGTAAGTAAATATCCGGAAAATAGAGTGGCATGTGAACAGTGTATGTGATGTACAAATAAAACAAGGCAGGCTGCTTGTGTTTCATGCAATAAGCGTTCCTCAGCAGGTACGCTATTCATTTAGAAAAAAACTTTGGGGAGGGGAAACTAGGGAAAACTAATCTAAAGAAAATGTTACCCACGACTGAACTTCTATTCTTTCAATTTCCTTCAGGTGAGCTTCTACGTCCTGGGCCCGTTGTTCTAAGGTAGCGCAGATTGGGCAAATCCAGTTGGGAAAATTTGATAATGTATTCCGTTCTTCTGGGCTTAATGGTTCTGTAAGGTACGCGTTCCCAGGTTCTAACAAAATGTCACTAGTTCCTTCTGAGTGTGTATGTTTCTCTAGCACGTGGCCGATCCAAATGGCTGTAATGCGAAGCAAGTTAGCGCGGGCTTTCTGGTGCCACATCTTTAGCTGCTGTGGGGAGTAGCTGGCTTTTCTTTCACTATTCCACTGGTCCATCAGAATCAGGGAGAAGATGTTCCTTTTCAAGTTCCTCAATTCCTTGAGAAAGTCTCCAAAATTGGTGCGAGTTTCTTGATATGTATGGCAACAGTCTAAAGGCAGCGACTCCACGACGGGATATTATACCGTCCATTTCACTTAGTACATATGATCCTCCCTGAGTTCGCCGTTCTACTTTATAAGGGCCAAGATAACGGGGTTTAGTCTTTCGGTTTAGTTCCTTTTCTATCCGAGTGTTACGTACCAGTACCAGATCTCCTGGTTGATAAGCTTCCCGTCTTAATCGCTTTGAATACTTCTTCTCAAACTGCTCTTTTGATTTGAACCGAGCTTTCTTTAGGGTTTCTGCTGCTTGCTCTAGGTCTTCGGGACGTCTTTCAAGCTGGCGTATTCTAAGTGCTAGTAAATCCACTGAAGTCATTCCGCTCTTAAATCCATCTACCATGAATGTAGCTTCTGCTAAATCAAATGGCAAAACTGGGTGTACTCCGTGAACTAAATAGAATGCAGAAAATCCTGTCACCCGACTAGTGGTAACTCGGTCCGCAAATAGAGTTTGGGGGATCTTCTGAGGCCATTGTGTAATGTTTTCATTGCATGCCTTTATTAATGCTTCTCGTAATATGAAATGCCCTCTTTCAACTACTCCGTTAGCCTGAGAGTTGTATGGTGAAATTGTGACATGTGGAATATTCACTTTCCGCATAAGGGCTGAAAATGCTCCTTGCACTTCTGGTCCGTTGTCGGTAGTTATTTGCCCAATAGCTCCATATCTGCAATAGAGGTCTTCCCAAAAAAATTTGCTAAGGGCCTTGGCATTAGGTGCTCTCAGAGGTCGTCCTTCTACATATCGTGATAAGTCGTCCCTAGCCAACACAATGTATTTGAATCCTTGGGCTGGAGGCATGTGCATAATGTCAATGTAGACTTTCATGAATATCGTAGATGGGGTAGAAACTGTAATAGGAATATGCATTTTGGTAGTGCTTCGAATTTGACAAGGGTGGCATGACTGTACATGATGCCGTACATCTGAAAATAAGTAGGGCCAGAAGAACCTGAGCCGTACTGTGTCCCACGTGGC